ATTAACTGATGAAGTAGTGAAACTTCATCAGTTGAGATGGCTGGTATAAGTGTTACGTAGGTCCAACCATCGACTGCCCCGACGTGCAATGTTTTATGATGTAGGAGTAGGTTGGGAGAAAGCTAGGGGCGGCCAGACCAAAAAGTGGCACAAATCCATAAAGTCACTGACAATTGGACTGAGCCATGTTGGTAGGTGTAGACTACCTGGTTGGGATTCGCGAGATGATAGCAACCGATCGTTGAAGACGTTGAGTGACATGGCTCAAAATAGTTTGCGATGGCGGAGGTGCATCTACTCTTTGTGTTCTGCCAAATTCTAATCTTCCGAATTGTTCATGTTCCTTTCTTTTTCCTCTTTCCAAATTAATTTCACTGGATTATACTCCTTGAATAACATCCTCAAACCCTAATCTTTTCGATTGCTGCTTATACTTTTACTACCTCTACCACTATGGGATTTGAATCGACAATTGTATCTCTGTGCTAATGTGGTATGACAACTTGAACTGATGTACGTACGTACGAAGTTCCGCGTTGTCACTGACTGACATCGAGGTGCAGTATTCTTCAGTTATTTCACTAGTAAGCGTTTCTTGAAGCACTGCCCAGTGTGGTGGTGGTGGTGAATATCCCTTTTAAAATTCATCTTAATAGTTAGGTGGGATATATGAGTGAAATCTATCATCAGTGTTATCCTTTCTCAACTAACCAACAAGCATCGAAAGATTCCATGTTATTCGAAGGAGGGTAACAAATCATTGTTAACTATTCAAAAGTATGTGCGAATTTTAGATCTCCATCGGTCTAACTTATTTTAATATCTATTGTGTCTTATTTTTGAAGTCTTACTACTTTTGATCTGTAGTCTGTACTTTATCTACTAACCCTACAGTCCTTAGGCTAGATTAATTTAAAAGTCACTGATTTCGAGAAATAGTTTTACTTCTTGTTTTCATCAACTTGAGCTCATTGAATAACGAAACGATAGTATTATCTCGAATCTTCTAACACCAACAATTTAAGTATGTATTCACAATGTGATTATCGGTCTTTTGAAAGTGTAAACAAATATATTTACATTAATTGAAGATTTTATATTCATAATCTATGAATTTACTTATTCATATTAAAAAGATCCCTCTTGTAAACGTAATGGTAATCTGCGGTTTTGCAGAACGTATCGATATTTGTCTACAATTTATTTTCCAGGATTCATTATTTTTAGCCTTATGGGTAACTAACAATCTGGTTAGAACTTTAATCTAGTATCAATCGCTCTAAAGTTCACAAATTTTTCTGACGTGAAAAACGATACTTGTTGTCTTTCTTGGATGAATGACGTTTTGTTACGAAAAGAAAATTAAAAGCATGATTTATTTGACTGAATTACTTTTAAACCTAACCGTCTTGAACCGGTAGGGAGAGAAAGGTAATAAGGGTCATAACACATAATGATCAGGAATAATAAGAGTTATTGTTGAATATAAACTTGATATTGTTTGTTGGATCCTAGTTGCAAAATCCACTACTTAGCAGCCGAATACACTTCCATTTTAATAACTGTTGTTTTTATATCTTGATTAGCCTTGCTAATCGTAACCCCTAAGCTAAAACTACACAGCGACTCGAACACGAGAGAAAAGGTACAAAATATGCGAGAAGCACTTTACTCCAAAGGTTCATTCCTGTACAGAAAATATAGGGTTTTTATAGTATTTTAGAAGTCCTTGGGTTTTCTCGAAAATTCTGGAAGCAGCATAGTAATCAGCCAATCAGAAACTCTACATGTGATTTTTCACCTTCGTGATGTTTCTGGCAAAACTTCTATTGAGCGCTGATTGAATAAAAGGCTTCTTAGTGTTTCCTGAGCCTTTCTTGTCTTTCGCGAGAAGTTTTCTGGATCACCCCAACATATCTAAAACGGGGATCAATAACTTCTAAGGTCATTTGACTTCGAGGTTACAATAGCTAAAGCTTATCCAACAGGTTTCAATTGTTTGTATCAACAGTACATTAAAGAACGTCAGCCCGAGGTGCATTATAGCTTTTCTTGTGTCTTTGTAATAATCATATACTAAATACAATGCATCATCATATATATTATTAGCTTTTTAAATAAATTTTGCTAGTTCGATAACAGGATTTACTCATCATAAGCTTAGTATGTAATCATTTCAGTAACTACTGCTTTCAGAGCTGTTTAAATCAGATAACTAATATTTTTTCTTATCGCAAATATGAAAGATGGTTGATATTTTATTATTAATGCATTCGCTGATATCCTTTTAAGGAGTGAAACGATAAATTATCTAAGTTAATTTTAGTTGTATTCATCAATCAGTTCTTTTCATCATTGTATAAAATACTATTTTGACTTGAATTAATCTGTTCCAAGTAGATAAAAAAAACTTGATTAGAAACGTATTGTTGGAAGAATTTCACTTAAATGAGAACTACCAACTATGTTTGCCTTGCTTAGAAAATTACTTAAAATGTTTAATGTAATGCTATACCCATAAATGAGTTATATCTTGAGGTAGAAATGAACCTATTTTCATTATAATAGATTTTTACATCCGATGCTTCTGTTATGCTTATACACTGATGTTAACCAGTATTTCATCTTTATTTTGTTATAAATACTAAAGCGGTAGTTGAGCTATTAAGACACTTGGCTTTCAACTAACAGGCTGTGATTTTAAATCCCGTTCTATCTTCGGTATGAATAGTCGGATTGTATTAATTATTTTTTATTATTATTACTATGATTATTATTATTTCAACACATAAATATTGGTTCAAGGAAGCACCAGATAAATATGCGCCTCACAAATCTCATTCGATTTGTGTGAGGGCTGTGATACTGCCCAGGTGCCCAGACTGAAGCAGGTGGTTTTCTTAGGGGGCCACACCCCGAGCCTTTGACCTAAAGGTCTAGTCCACAAGGCAGTGGATTATTGTGAGGAGATGCAGTCCCATTGTAGCCGGTGACCAAATGATTGGTTCATACGCCATTTGTTCCTTCAGGATCCTGGAACCCATGTGCACCATTGGTTAGTAATCAGGGTTTTCCAACTCCCCTAGGTGAACTTTCCATGTCCACAAATCCGGTTAAAGCGCCGGACATTCGCTTTTCGTCCTCTCAATTTCGTAAACAACAGTAATGCCACGAGAAGGCAGTGAGTAGGATTTCCCTATCAGAGGCTATATATTCTCGTGGCCATGTGAGGGCATTTCGAGAGGGAGAGGTGACTCTCCCCACTCTCGGCCTTACCAGGGCATTTGGAAGCGATTGTATTAATTACTTTCACATAAACATTTCAACTCTAAGTCAACTAAATAAACATGTAATTGACAAGTTGAATTTACGTCAACGGGTTATATTCACGATCATCTTGGTTATTGAATGCTTACACTTGTTATTGAATTCCTTTTTCAGCTCCCGTTAATCAAAATTAAATAATTTCGTATAAAGTATCAGTAGAAAGTAGGAAACATTGTACCAATTTATTAGTAATTATGAAAGTTCGTTGATATTCAGAACTGAAGTAAATTATACTTGAACATGTTGTTGGCTACTGTGATTCATTTGTCTAACTCATAACCCTCTGATGTTTAAAAGTGACAAACATTAACTTTGAGTTTCTGTATGAAGATCAATACTGATATACAGTGAGATTCATTTAGCGAATCTCATATAGGATGAAAAGTATCTGGATTTTACTGTAAGACTTTGTAAAAAGAGATTCAGTTGTTCTGTCTTAATGACAATTTTTTTCTAAATGAACGCTCGACCCGGTTTTCTAGCCGCTTCTAGTAACCCTAGATTGAATCAACAAAGCACGAAGACTGGTGATAAAGATTAATTTAACTTTTCAAGTTAATTGAAATGATTTATGAATACATCACATTTTATATGATTTTTCTACAATGAGATTAACAGTTAGATTTGTATAAATTGATTTGTATTTAGCAATAATAATTCAATTATTTACTGTGTGAATACATTTACTATAGTATACAAGGAAGCATCTCTAATCCTACTTAAGACGTGACTACATGTCATACATAATTGGAAAAAAAAATCAATTTCATATGTCGTTCTCACTCCAATTGATTGAGCTATTACGTTTCATATCACCTAGTTTTGGGTTTACTATACTAATATGAATATTCATTTGGCTTGTAACTGCGACAAATTAATATTTGGGACAAACTACCACTGCTCGTATATATTTTAAGAAACCTGAAATACAGTGAAGAAGGGAACAAATTATTTGTAACAATTGGTCCAACTACATGATAAATTGGCCATTAAGTCGGTTCCGACCACGTGGTAACATGAATGGAAATCCGGAGTAAGAGAATTTCTATCATACTAATCAATGACCTAAGATGTTGATTTCTACTTCAGCCTATACCTATTAAAAAATTGCCTTCTCGGTATTTTACAGGCATTTATTATGCATTTTTAATAACTGAATGAAACAATAAGAAACTGAATATATATTTTTCCATAACATTATATACACTAACACAACGTTTAAGCTGTACAGTACAGTTGGTGTTGTTAAATATTTTTATTTAATGTTGATTCACGTTAGTCAGTAATCATATCTATATGCTAATCCATGAAAGGGCTTGTTCTTTATATGTCTGCATAGGTGAATTGAAAGTGTTTGTTATGAAATTATACATTGTAACATTTCCATCATTTATTAGTAATAATTTACTATTTCTCCCACTTATTCACTGCCAGGAAAAAGCAGTGACAATGGGGTTAATAGTAATGTGAAAATATAAAGTGGAGCGTTTCATATATATATATATATATATATATATATATATATATATATATATATATATATATATATATATATATATATATAATTGACTGATGACCGTTTTACTCTTGAATTATTTTCGTAGAGAAAATTGAAACTGAATCTTATTGAAAGTTGTGTTGTACGGAGAAATCAATTAAAATTTCATTTTTGGTCAATATGATGGTGAATTAATAAAATTGTTTAGCTCCTCTTTTGATATTTTGGTTAACATTAAATTAGATAATGCATTACACTGTTCTGCTGTTGTTGTAATAATATCATCAGAACTGTTAGTAATACTTTTAGTAGTACCGGTGGTACAAGGAAAATCAATTGAATCCATATTTGAGGAATTTTGATTAATTAAATTTGGTGGTATTGTGACAATTTCATTTAAATTTTTTACTCTATTCCTTAACAAATCACATGAATTCGTTGTGGAAACTAGATTAAATTCACATGTCGAAGATTTTTCATTTTGTTCATGTTGATGTATACTGTTGAGTTGTTTTGTGATTAGAGAATCTGTGGCAAGGAGAAAAACTTGGTAGATTTACACAACACAACTGAATCGAAGGTGAAATAGTTACTATAAAAGAATGAATTTCGTCACGTACTTCTAAAGATTTTAACTTATTCACAAAGGTTCAATGTACTAATATAAATGAGTTATAATTTGTTTGTAAATTGCATTTAATGCTGAAACCATGAATTGATCTAAGATCAATATTGAAAACCTGGAAGGACTGGACAACTGTTTCGTTCTAGTATGGGACTCCTCAACAGTGCGCATCCATGAACCATCACAGGGATCTCAGACCCACAACCTTCGGTTTTCTTCACGAACTCTCAACTTCTAGACCATCAAGTCGGTAACCAACAGTGTTAATGTCTGACTTCAATCAATCCACAACATTGTGTGACTAGCTCCCATTGTTTCTGGTGGGTAACTGTTCCACACCCGACTCGGATTAGCTCCGATTGTCATGGCTTCTCATTAGAACTCTAAAAATTTCCTCTCAAAGCTAGGAACTAGTAAGCACATGATAATATGCAAATTTTTTGAAAATACTATTACATATACGATGACAATCTGTTACTAAATTATTCGAGTTTCATTGCTGAACTACAGTCTACCATATATATATATATATATATATATATATATATATATATATATATATATATATATATATATATATATATATATATATATATAGTAAATTACCACTTCCGGTCTAAATGTTTGTAACATAAAGTTAGAATTTCTATAGACTGAATATGAATTTTCTAATAGGAGTTAATAACGAAGATTTGCAAGATGACATTTTTTTTCTTTTCGAGAAAATAAAGACGATAAATCAAGAAACACCTGATATAAAAATTAACCAGGTTACATCCAGTAGATGTTTCACATATAACGATAAAGGCACTAAAATACTCACCAATTTTTCTATGCCAGCTTTGTGCTGTATCAAGGTTCTGTCTATCATTTTGTGAATCAATTTGATTTAAAGTACTAACTTCTGGGATATTATGCATTTGAGGCAATCCTAAACGTTGCTGTAAGATTTGTTCAAATGGGCCAATAGAATTTGACTCAACAAAGTATGGGTTCACTTTCATATTGTCTGTAATATGTTCTAGTTGTGAGAAAAATGGATATGAATTTGCTTGAGATTTTCGTGTACTCGACCGGGAGTGTTCAAATAATGGACAATTTGTATTTGAACTACTATCACCAAAATAAGTAGTTGGACTTTGCAAAAGGAAACTATTGGAGTGATTTATATCTAACCTTGAACAATTTAAACCATCTAGACTCCTTGTTTGTGCTGTTGGTACTAGCTGTTGTATATAAGGATTAAGGTTATTACTGCTAGTGATATTGTTGTAGGTATTTTCACCGTTCGTTATGTTTTTCATAGAGTTGTTTGTTGTTAAACTTACGTTCTTCGTTAATGAATTACTATTGATTGTCATGCGGAATGGAGTTCCCGACTTTTTTCGTTTCTTCCATTTTGCTCGACGATTTTGAAACCACACCTGAATGAAAATTTCAATTGTTTTAACTTCATTTTTTCCAAGTTTAATGGTTTGACTAAAAATAACTTCATTATAAGAATTAATTAAAAGTGCTCAGAAAGTTACTCTTATTAAATTCTGATAGGTAATTATGCCGATCAAGTTCAAATTTATTGAGAAGGAGATTTTATGATGATATGATTTAAGCCAATTAAAATGTATGATTCATGCATCAGTTTACCGAAGTACTTAAAGTATGATTTCTGCTATAATTTTTATACAGTTGAAAATTTCGATTTTATTGGCTGGTAGGTAATTTACGAAAACCTGTATAGTATAGTCAATTGTTTTCAGTAACACAACTATGTTCATTTTCACATTTAACATCATGTATATAATGGTGCCAATTTCATAGAAAAAATAATTTTTGCCGCTCAACTTTTCTGTCTTTTAATATTTATTTAAATGAAGGGAGCTTCACATCAATAATGACTTGATCGAACTCTATCGCTTTGGACGGTCGGTCACAGATTCATTCACAAACATACACTTTGTTGTAATGTAAGATGGTGTTTGGAGGTATTCAATCGAAAGCTTTGGAAGTAGGCTTCATTTTATTTGACATTCATCAGCGAGGTGATCCTGGAATCTTGAGAGAACTTCGTTCCACCCACCTTCACAGTCAGAAACGTTACCATTGAGTTATTCGTGTCGTAACCGACTTCCTGTAGAACTAAGATGCAACAATAACAAACCAAACTAGCTTGAACTGCTTACTCTGGTTATATCATCAAAGTCAAATCTTATATTTTTGATCTTCGAGTTAGTCATAATAGATCTCTCAATAAATCAAACTGCACAGTTGGAAATGGTTTCATGCACCTACTAATTATCTTGTCATTAATCAGAATAATCTTTCTATCTTATGTTTAGCATTTCATTATTTTGTTTTGTCCGGGTTTAAACAGTTTCGTTGATACTGACCTGTTTCAAGTGAATGCTTTACCATATAAATCATTGAGCTCAGAAGGGCAACATCATAAAAAATTCTTATCTTAAACTAAAAACTTTTGTTATCATAGGCTTTTAGCATTTGAAATCGTTATGCAATTTAATTGTATGATTTTAGATTATCCTTATGTTCTGATCAATAAGATTTAAATATTATGTTTTTTTTTATATCCATGCAAAAACCACCAAATATTAAATACGAATTGGGAATTTTTCTAGAGACAATGCATTTTAGTTAACAAGTCTCATTGGGTTCAGCAAGTATTTACTTTTAGAAGATCCGTTCAATCATGTTACTTATGATATATATTTTGTACTGATAAATCTTGACTTAGTGGCTTCGTAGTATCGTGATAGGTTTTAGAACCAGATTGTGCTATTGTGAATATAACCATTACCTTTTATATATTATTTTCCGTCATAATAATTAATTAAATTCTTTTTAAGATATTTTGTACAAATATAACACTTGTATTATGCAATGACTTTTATTAGTACATGTAAATTGTACGAAATAAGAAAATTCCTTAGAAACCTTTTTTATTTGAACATTAAAAAATCTCTTTTTATGGCTAAGCAAACTTTATCTCCTATATATCAGGTCCTAACCATATTGATGGTTAGATTTAACCTAAATGTTCGTATTATAAGCAGAGATGGATAGTGGCTAGCAATGGAATCCAGGACGCGCGTTTCGTCCTATTTGGGACTCGTCAGCTGGATGCACTTGCATCTCAGAGTTAGTGTTCACTCTGGGACTCGAATCCACTATCTTTCGCTTCAAACGTTATCCACTCAGCTACTGAATCCTGATAACCACTTGCTTTTGCAATGGGGTGAATTTTAAATTCACTTAGTATTGTTTGTTTGAATCTGCCCATTGATGTTTAGGACTGCAACTGGTCAGTCTCTTATTGGCATATGTGCATACTGTGCGTATTGCCTCGATATTGCCTTAATTCACAAGCAATATAAGGCAATATCGAGGCAATACGCACAGTATGCACATATGCCAATAAGAGACTGACCAGTTGCAGTCCTAAACATCAATGGGCAGATTCAAACAAACAATACTAAGTGAATTTAAATGTTTGTGTTTTAGAATAAAATATTAATATATTCATTTTTGTGTTGGTATAAAGTGTAATTTTTTATCTAAAAAAATAGATTTTGTCTTATCAATTGTGTTACTGTTCCACATTTATCCTCTGAAGAATTGATTAACACTAAGTTACGATACGTCAGAAAATCTAAATATTTAATTTTTCCACTTATTGTGATATTACAAATATCTTATTTTTTAAAAATTAATTTTCCACATGAGTTCATTTGATGAAAGTTGTTTGAAAAACATCTGTCTTATAAGCATTTATTATTAGACTACAGTGTATTATTGACTCTCGATCTTAATAACTGAAATGTATCATTCATGGTCAGCTACAACGTAGGACTAGGCATATGTTTGCATCGGTCCAAGTTACCATACCTCATTAGCACAACAAGATGAGCATTGAATTCATAGAAATAGTAAATTTAGTGATGGTAATATATATAAAAGAAAGGTTGTATATAAGGATACAGTACATGAAGACAGATATGAAGCAATTTTAATCTCAAGGTTTAAGGGAAGATAAATAGTGTATACACCTGCGCCATTGTGATCGATTCTGAGCCATGTCACCCAGAGTCTCCAACCATTTATTACGATATTCGCGCGGACCCCAACCAAGTAGTCTGCATGTACCAACATGGCTCAGACTAGAAGTTAGTGACTTCAACGACCGATACCACGTTTTGGTTTGGCCGCCCCTAATTGTTATTCATAACCCTCAGAATTTTCTGAAACATTTTTTTCCATACTACTTTTGTTGATTGGATTTTTTGTTTGAGATAAACGACTGTTGAATATACGATTTTTTCTTCAATCTAAGACATATAATTAATGGCCATCAATTCTGACTCACATTATTTATTGTCTATATTCTATCCATTCATATATCTAAGATGAATTACTCTGTATTGGTTTATCGTATCGAATACATGTGTAATCAGTTATATAAAGCATTTAACCAATGAAATCATTCCACTGTTGACAGTTATAACCAATTTTAAGAAACTTACAAAACAATTAAAATATAATTCTAATCGAATATCATAAAATTTCAGATTATAATATGAACCATTGTGTCAGCTGATTTTGAATTTTAACGTTATTCATGGGATAAAAGAATCGATTTCAAGGAAGTTCAGTTAAAGAACAAATGATCTAGCAACTATATAGACGAAGAATATTTCTTTTCAATAACTTCTCGTTAGATCCTACAATTATACATCTAAATTAATCAGTACAGAGACGATTTACACTTCGTACTCTTTGAACTGATAGTGTCTTGACATATAATTCTAGGTGTAGTAAACTAGGGCTTGACCCTTTATGGAAGAGGAGACTCAAACCTAACCTTATCTTTTTTTAAAATACTTAACAAACTATCCTTCACATCCAACCAGGCGATTCAATATGCTGAAGCTTCACATTACGGCATTCGTAACTCCTTGTCTTTAGCGAAACAAACATATTCTAGATCTTCTCTCTATATGAATTACTTTACCTGTAAGTTTTCTAGGCTCTGGAATAAACTACTACAAACTATCCGTACGTTAAACTCTTTCCCATTGTTTGTTCGCTCCATTAATGCCTATTGTTCCTCTGAAAATGCATTAAATCCTCTAGCGTCTGTAAGTGTATCTTACTCCACAAGCGAGATTATCGGAACTTTAAATGTTTAACCTCTTACTTATTATCATTGTTTCGTTGTTCCGTGCTCTTTACTTTTATCTTACTTTCTCTAGTTGTAGATAATTATCAATAACTCGCTCTGGCACTGGGAATAACCTTACAGAACAACGTTCATAAATCATCAGGCTATCCACTTAAGAAAAAATGAAAAGTTCCCTGGTGTTGCGTTGGCTTGCCGTGATATATGTCATATATAAACTACTTATCAATTACTAAACCAGCAAACATAAAACTTTCTTATATTTCATGTTTGTTCTCAACATTAAATGTTGCTTTTTATATCAATCTGATCTTGCCTGTAAACTGGTGTGAATTCCGTAAATATTATTTTCAGAATATATTATTATTATCCCAAAAAGTGGCCAAGTTTATGGCAGAATACATCATTTAAAATTATAACATATGAATCAAGGATTGTTTGTCACATAAAATAAAATCGTTAATGTTTGGGTGGCTAATATGAAGTGTTAATTTGAATAAGCTTATACGTTAAATGAAGTTGCGAGATAAATGATCCGAATAAATATGGTCAACATGGGGTGAAAGAGAGAGAGAATGTAATTGCAAATCGGAAATTACGTAATGTATTGTGATATGAATTAGGCAAAAATTAGTAGATAGGGTTGGATGCTGAATAAATTCCTCAAAAAGGTTAGCAAGTATAATAGTAATAATAATATAATGATGATAATAATAATGAAAATGGTAAGATGTGTGGATAAGACTAAAGTTACGCAGATCAATTTAAAGAACTTTTAATGTAGGTAAACTGCGATTGTTGTGTTTTACACATATCTATCTTGAGACTGATTGATGTAGAAACAAACTGTCGTTTAAATCACAGGATTTAAAATTTCCGGCATAAATTCCTGGGAATGGATTCATTTATACTTTGTAGTTAAAAAATTATAAGTAGAAGTTGGTGACAATTACCGTTTGTATACTTATTACCAGATTTCAGTAATCAGACTTTGGACTAGTTTCAATATTTGATAAAATTTTTGATATATTTAAATAAAATTTTTAAAAAAAAAGATTTTCAGAATAATATGAATTCACTATATTTCAAGGCTTTTCATCAGTTTCAAACTACCTGAATTTACAATAATAATATTATTATAAGGTATTTTACATGCTGTAATCGGTCAATTTTAGCTCCAGACTAAAAAAGAAGATGGAAAAACATATTCAACTTGGTAGTTAAGATTGATTA